TCGAAGTCGTGGCCACTCCACTGAAGCATGTAAGCAGCTCAAGGAAGAGATTGAAAGGTTAATTAAACAGGGATATCTCGGTCGATTTGTACAAAATAAACCAGCTGGTATCGATAATGCTCCTACAGGGGGGCAACATACACCAAGGCAGCAACATGGGGGTCAACCAGTAATAGGAGAAATTCAAACAATTGCTGGAGGCTCATCGATGATTGATCAACTCCTTGTCACTGTACCTCGTGAACCAATGCAGAAGAAATTACGTCTTGAGCCTATAACTTTTGATGATTTCGATTTGGAAGGAGTTCGAGTCCCCCACCAAGATCCTTTAGTCATTAGCGCAGGAATATAGAAATTGGCGAGCCTTGCTATAACGTAAAGAGGATCCTGATCGACAATGGGAGCTCTGTTGATGTCTTGTTCTATTCAACTTTCCTCAGTTTGGGATTAACAAGGGAAATACTTCAACAAATTGACAAGAGAGATACTTCAACCTGCGTCAGGACCCTTATATTGTTTTGATAATCGACCAGTGAGGGTTGAGGGAACAATAAATCTTCCACTTGTCTTGGGAGATTTTCCTCAACAGATAACCCACTCAATCCAATTCATCATTGTCAAATCAGAATCGGCGTATAATGTTATCTTCGGGAGACCATTGCAATCAATTTTTGGCGTCGTGACTTCTGTAACACACTTAAAGATCAAATTTCCAACCCCTGCAGGGATCAGTGTCCTACGAGGTGATCAACAGATAGCACAATCATGCTACCTCAGACAAGCTCAGCCACGCCCGTCAATGACACTTAGCATTGAAAACTTTGATCTTCGAGATGAAGATGTATCTCAACGGGCTTCTCCCGTGGAAGACTTGGTTCAAATCTCAATCTCTGACGAATATCCCTCGAGAACAGTTCAGCTTGGTTCCCTACTCTCCGATGAGAAAAGGTCAGAGTATGTAGATCTTCTACGAAGAAACCAAGACATTTTTGCATGAACTCCAGCCGACATGTCTGGAGTTGATCCAGAAATAATCATGCACACTTTAAAGGTAGACCCGACCTTTAAACCAGACCTTTAAACCAGTTATCTTAAACCAGTTATCCAGAAGAATCGTAGTTTTGCCTCAGACCGCTTACAAGCTATTGAACAAGAAGTCAACAAACTTTTAGAAGCAAAGTTCATAACCATCCTGCATGGCTGGCCAATGTCGTCATGGTGAAAAAAGCTAATGGTTCATGGAGAATGTGTGTCGACTATACAGACCTTAACAAAGCTTGCCCGAAGGATAGTTTTCCTCTCCCGCGCATAGATCAACTTGTTGATGCCACGTCTGGACATCAGATGCTAAGCTTTATGGATGCATACTCAGGATACAATCAAATAAGGATGAACCCAATGGACGAGGAGGCCACCTCTTTTCAAACAGATAAGGGCTTATACTGTTATCAGGTGATGTCATTCGGGTTAAAAAATGCTGGTGCAACTTATCAACGACTCATGAATAAGGTCTTCAAAAACCTTCTCGGGCGTACAATGGAGGTTTATGTTGATGACATGTTAGTAAAAAGTTTGGAAGCATCCCAACACATTTCTCATCTAGAGGAATGTTTCCAACTCCTTCGTCAGTATAATTTACGACTTAACCCGACTAAATGTGCTTTTGGGGTCACATCAGGGAAGTTTCTGGGATTTATGGTTACCCATCGTGGGATTGAAGCAAACCCAGAAAAAATCAAGGCGTTGAAAGAAATGGTGCCTCCAAGGAATATCAAGGAGGTGCAACGACTGAATGCTCGTATAGCCGCCCTATCCCGATTCTTAGCTCGTTCTGGAGATAAGTATCTACCTTTCTTCAAAATATTAAGAGGAGCACGGAACACTGGTTTTCAATGGACAGATGACTGTCAGATCGCTTTCGAACAACTTAAGACATATCTGGCTTCACCGCCCCTTCTCTCAAAACCCATCCAAGGGGAAATGTTATTTATTTATTTGGCTATTTCACTTAATGCAATAAGCTCTGTCCTAGTCAGAATAGAAAACACAATCAAGAAACCAGTATATTACGTCAGTAAAGTTCTCTCTGATACAGAAAGTTGCTATCTAATGGCGGACAAGACTGCACTAGCCCTGGTATTCTTAGCAAGGAGGCTCCGTCCTTACTTTCAGGCTCACACTATTGGCGTTTACACGCGACTCCCTTTGAAGGCAATCCTACAAAAACCAGAAGCATCAAGAAGATTAGTTAAATGGTCAGTAGAATTGGGAGAATTTGACATCCACTATTTACCGCGACCAAACATCAAATCACAGGTGTTAGCCGACTTTGTGGTAGAATGTGCAGTGCCTACCACTGATGAACCACCCTCTTCTCTTCTACAATCACCTCAGTGGACACTATATGTAGACGGAGCATCTGGAAACTCAGGAGCTGGTGCAGGAATACTACTCATCTCCCCAAAGAAAGACATTTTTTAGTACGGGCTTCGTTTGAAATTCTCGGGCACCAATAATGTTACTGAATATGAAGCGCTTGTCGCCGGATTAACGCTTGTCATCAACTGTGAAGTACGAAATATGATTATCTACACCGATTCTCAACTCGTTGCATCCCAAGTGGAAGGAGAATTTGACGCTCATAACTCACAACTGGTGCAATATCTCAGTCTTGTAAGAACACTTCTCGCCCAAATTGACACATGTCAACTCGTTCATATACTTCGGGAGCATAACACCCGAGTTGATGCCCTCTCCAAGCTTGCAACTTCAACAACTGGAGATCTCTATAAAAGAAGGTATATTGAAGAGATACATTTTCCTAGCATTCATGGCCCATGGGAGATACTGACTATAGATGACCCAAGGGAGTCATCTTGGATGGATCCCATCATCTCTTTCCTCCAAGACGGAACACTGCCAGATGATGCTACGACATCAATTCGCATTCGACGCATGGCGGACAACTTCATCCTTATAGGGGATGAACTCTACAAGAAGGCATTTGTAGGTCTATATCTCAAGTGTCTTCCTCCATCTGAAGCTGATTATGCTCTACGAGAAGTTCGTTCCGGAATATGCGGGGAGCATCTTGGTGGCAGAGCACTTGATCTTAAGATAATGAGGCAAGGCTTCTACTGGCACACGATCAAGCAAGATGCATTAGAGTTTGTGCAAAAATGCAAGAATTGTCAACTACACTCCAATCTTACACATGCACCGCCAGTGGAACTCACTTTTTTTTTCTAAGTTCTTGGTCTTTCGCTCAATGGGGGGTAGATATCATGGG